TGTTTCGCAAGTAACTGATATAGTGATCTTCGGTACGCCCGATGATGACCCACTTATCTACATGCAAAACAACAGAACGTGGAACTTATTTAACCAAACATAATTTTCATTGATCAAGAAATAACAAGTGTAATATCCACTAAAGCAAAGCTTAAGTATATAACACCAACAAGTACTTCCCTGCCTCAGCACCCATCTCTTATCAAAGGTGAACCTCCTATTTCTCTTGATATTATCCACCTCAGAGTGTAAAAGAAGCATCCCATGGTCTGAGGCACTTCTAAATAGGTTGGACACTTGAGAGAGGGGGTATCTAGATAGCCACCCCAGAGAGCCATAAGCTTTATCTAACTTTTCCTCCACAATGCCTTCACCAATCCTGTTGTTACACCAAGTGAACTGGTACCCAGCCATAAATAATTCAGTCATGCCCATTGTAGCAACAAAATTCAGGAAAGGCAGCATACTTCTAAGAGATCTAGGCCTCCCACCTTTCTTATCCTCCTCCCTAGTGATGTCATTGGAGCAGTCAGTATTCCTTATTTAGAGAACCTCAACCTGCAAATCCCAAGACAACAGCATTCCACCCTTTGTACCAACAGGATCAACAAAATGATATCTATCTCCAAACCCTAGTCTATTACAAAACTTAATAGTAAAATTTTTTATTTTTTGGTTTCAGATAAAAACAAAAAATGAAAGAGGTCAGTATGCATTGCCTCTCGAATTTGGAGAATTGTAGAGGGCCCCCCAGTCCTCTACAATTCCACACCAGGGCTAGCATTGGGCACTGTGGGGCCGATTAGGGCTGGCTGCCTCCACCTCTTGAACTGCCTTTTTTTGTTTTTTGCAAATACTGCCTACTTCCCCAGTTGAGTTCCCATCTTCATTGACAAAGTGAAGTTGCTGTCTGGATCTTTTAGCCCCCTGAGAATTAATATGGGAGCTTGTAGCTTGAGACCCTGTTGATTTTTTCCCAACTCTTGCAGATGCCCTCCTCCACATCTTCTGATTAGGAGATATGTTAACAACTTTCTTCCCATTGCTCACAGACTGAATATTTGCTTCCATGATTGCCATTATGTGCTCTTCCTCTTCTGGAATAAGTTCCAGCTGCCTCCTAGGATCAATTAGAGATGTTGGGTTGGGATCATTAACATCAATCATGGCACAACCCTCCATCTGT